TCAGGGGGGGAGAGGCTGACTCAGCCAGCATCTTGAGACTGCGGTCTCCTGCCCCCCAGCCTGGTCTTGTCAAGCCTGACCCACCTCGTTTGACTGCTTTCCACTGTAGGACATCTTCTTGATGGCCACCACCTCACTATTGCGGACATCCCGGGCCTAGAGGACCAGAGCAGAGGGTGGGGAAGATCCTCAGTGAGAACTGGACAGGTGGCACAGTAGGAGAGGGATGTCTGGAGGTCCAAAGGGGGGAAGAACATAGTCCCCAACCCTACCCCACCCTCCCAAGCCCCAACTCACAAAGTACACAGCACCAAAGCTGCCATGGCCAATTTCCCGGAGGTCAGAGAAGAGTTTTTCGGGGTCATCCTTGAAAAAAAGCTCAGCCACATCGGGGTCCTTCAGGCTCCCGGCCCGGCCCCCAGCTGGCATGGTGGCCCCTGAGGGCCCTGAGAGTGGGGCCCGACCTGGAGAATGGAGACGGGACCCTTAGAGCAAGGATGGGCCCCGCAAAGAGAGGAAGAGGCCCCTCAAGTTTCTGCCTTCTCCTCCCCTCCTTCCCTGGTGAGGGGGAGGCACTGCTGAGGAAGGGCAGGGGGAGATTAGGAACAACATCAAAGTTTCCAAAAAAATGAAGTTGCCCTGGCAACCAGAGCACTGCCGGCAGAGTCCCTGGAGTCCCTAAAACTGCTGGGAAGGCTGGGAGTAAGCATCCTCACCACCACCCTCAGCCCCCAACAAGTTCCACTTCCCTACACCACCTGCGTCTCCCCTCAAGAGAAAAAGATTCTGCCTCCAGCCGGAACCCCAGGTCCCCAAATGTCCTGTCCCACAAGTCCCATACCCTAAACATTTTCAGGCATCTTCCTGCCCCCTTGGCGTTGAGGCCCCCTCCTCCCTCAGCCTCTCACACTCTGGAAGAGGGCAGGAAATGGCCAGGCCGGAGGCAGTGGAAATCCGGCCATTGTTAGAAGTGGGTACTGGCCCAGAGGGACCAGAAGGCTTGCTCTCAAAAAGAGCTAGGGACACGGTGGCAGGGGGGAGACCTAGAATGGAAAGAACAGGGATAGAAATGGCACCTGGCTTTGGGGGACTTGCTGCGAGCAGGCCTTCATGTCCAACTGCACATGCATTACACACAGGTACAAGAAGTTTGCCGTGGACAAGTCACATTTGTTGAGCTTGTCGAGCAAGCACTTTCCATGCGTTCTCTCTCATTCAGTCCTCACAGAACCTCAGGAGGTTACTCCTATTACCCTCGTGTTGCAGATGAGGAAACAGGCTCAGAGGAGTTAAATGATTTGCCCAGAGCTGGCCCTCTACCCCCTGTGCTTTCAGTGCAGCGAGCAGGGCAGCATCCCCATCACCATTTCACAGACGAGGTCACTGGGGCAGAGAAAGGGAAGAGGAATTCTCCAAGGTCAGAGAACAGGACCTTTTCCTCGCAGTCAGGCCTGTGTGCTCATTCCTCTCTCATCAGCTCAGCACCAGCTCAGTCCCCTCCTGTGGGAAGCCTCCCCTGACCAAGCCAGTGCTGGGGAGAGCTCCTTGGAGCACCCGGCTGAACACCCTGAGAAAGCTCCTGCAGTACAGCAGAGCCAAGACCCCAAGGGGATTCCAGGCCAGGCTCCTGACTAAGCACTTGTTGGAATTCAGGCACAAAGGAACCTTCAACAGAGCTGGCCTCCCAGGGCAGAGTTCTAGCTCCTTAAAAGCGCCCAACAATTTAGCATGTAATTATATTCTGTGGTACATTGTTTCCTATTGTGTTGTTAATTTTGTCTCCTCAGCCCAACTGGAAGTGGGAGGCTGAGGAGCAGGCCCGGGGGCCCCCAGAGTGCAGAGGACTCAGAATAGCCTGGGAGGGTGACTGCCCTCAGCAGCTCCCAGGCTGCTCAGAGCAGGCCCGTCTCCATTCCCCTGCCAAGCACCCCTCACCCTCACCACATACCCACACACAAAAGCAGGTGCTCACAACTGCAAAAGGAATCTTCTTGACCTCTTTACCAGCACACAGTCAAGAATGTCAACCCAGGACCCCAGGTCACATGGGGGAGATACCAGCACATCACATGGGGCCTCTTCCTCAAATAAGCACGACCATTTGAATAATTACCAAGGTCTGCCCTAAATCATAACCCCCTTCTAAAATGGGCAATGTTATCTCCATTCTGCAGGTGAGGAAACCCAAGTGCGTCTGTCCCTAAGCCACACTGCCAGTGGCACCTCTCATCAGCAACGTACAGCAACAGGGCTTTGAGCAAGTTCCCTGGTCTTCTCCTCAGTGAAATGGGTAACAGCACAGGGCTGCTGTGAGATTTTTCAGGAGAGCCCATGCTTAGGAGCCCTATGCAGACACTCAGCATATGGATCTTTCCTTCTCTGCCTCCAGGGTCACAACAAGGCTTTAATACTTTGGGGATCACCATACCCCAACAGCTTGGCTTTAACTGTGAAAAGACACCACTGTGGCTATCATCTGTCACAAGAGAGAGCCCTCTCAGGAACCCAGGCCAAAGGCTGGGACTACAGGAAAGATGAAGGTCACAAAGGAGAGAAAAATCCATGAGGCAGAAGAGAAGGCAGGAGCCAGAGCCTCCCATCAGGTAAAGCCGGAGTACAGCCCTCCTAAAAAGGAAGCTCTCCTTCCACCCACGCTTAAACCTCACTCCAACTCAAATGCTGATTTTGTCACTGACCTTGGGCAACCTCTCTGGGCCTCAATCTTCTCAACTGTAAAATGGGAAGATAGCAATAAAAGAGCCCCACCACCACCACCACCACCACAGGATGAATGGATGTAAAGCACTTTGTAAATGACAGATCATTTGACAAATGTAAGATTATTTATATCATCACAGCAAGAGGTTGGAAGGTATTTATATGGCTGGGAGAAAATACTGCCAGGCACCCCCAAACACAAATGCACACGCACATTTCCTTGAAAGGGCAGGAAACCCAACCAGACCATGCCTAAAAAATATGAGCTGACCCACGGTGGGGATCAGAGGCACGGGAAATCAACACCCCAGAGCAATCAGTAAAAGGATTATCATCATAGAGAAGAGGTGGCTGTGAGGGGCAAAGTGGACACGGGGGAGATCAGAAAGGTGCAAACCATTAGGTTTGCTCCAGCACCTAGGGCGTGACCCCCGGTTACATCAGAGACCCTGTCACCTGAGGTCCCTCCTCAACTAGACGTAATGAAGGGAAGAGAAAGAGGAAGAGGGTGGTGGCAGAAGCGAAGGCGAGCCAGAGGCTGACCACTGGCCCAGCTGGGCTTCCCCACCCTGAAGAGAGGGTCCAGCTAATAAGAGAGGAGCACCCCTTCTTCTCAATTCTAGACACACGGATCCGCGCCCCTGCACCCCATGTCTCACCTGGTAGGAGTCACTATGGTGCCCCCAGCGCTTCCGACGCCTCCTGGGGTCCTCCAGCGGCTCTGCCAAGCAAGCAGAGGGGCAAGGAGACCTTCCCCCTTGCCACCTCTTCCTCGGCTTTTGCCCTTCCTCAGGGGCGGGCCCGGGAAGCCTCCCCTGGAGGGGAGGGGGTGACAACCTGATCTGACCTCGCGGTCCAGTCCTCCTCCTCCTCGAGGGCGACAGTTGCTGAACCCCGGGTTTCTGATTGTGGGGTCTGAACCCCAGATATCTGAACGGGGGGGAGGCTGCCTTTGATATCTGAACGCGTGGGGGAATGAATCCCAGATACTGGTGCACGCAGGGGCCTGAACCCCAGATATTTGAAATCCTGTAAAACAGAGCCCCAGTTTTAGAGAGGCTGGGACCCGAGTCCCGGATATCTGCAATCTGTGGGGCTGATAGCCGGGTATTTGAGAAACGACGGGTCAAGCCCGGAAATTCGGCACCGAAGGGCCTGAACCCCAGGTCTTCGGCCACCGACAGGGGGCCCACCCCTAGGACGTCCGGCCAAACGGCCCCTCTCACGTCAGGGTTCGAGGGTGACAGCCCCCACGCCCGCCCCGGCCTCCTCCCTTTCCCCTTCTCTCTCTCGAGGGAAGCTGAAAGACTGCAGTTGAGGGCGGTCCCGGCGCCCTCTCGCCCTCTCGCCCTCTCGCCCTCTCCTCTTCTCAGGCTCAGCCTCTCCGCACCACAACCCAGGTCTCGTCCCGGTCTCCCTCTCCCTCTTCCTCCCAATTCCAAGATGGAGACCGGACGGGAGCGCGCAGGCGCGGTAGGAATGCCGGGCCAAAGGGGGCGTGGCCCGCAGGAACAGCCCCGCCCCTCTCTCCTTACTGCCTTGGCCAGCGAGACCGGCAGCCACCGAGCCAGAGTGCGCGCGCGCCCCGCCACGCGGACCCTGGGTGGGAGGAGAAGGGGCGAAGGACAAGGGCTTGGAGGCGGTGGAGCCCAGCGTACTGTCCAACTGGCGGTTGAGAAGGCTGCGGCGCATGCGCTCGCCCCGCCTTAGCAGTGAGCCGGCACTTGTTGCTAGGGGAAGCTTTGAGGGGGCGCTGTTGGAAGGAAAGCAGCTGAGATCTGCGCTTGCGTACAGGGTAGAGGTTGGGAGGGGTAGGGGAAGGCTGATGCTGGGCGCAGAAAAGGCGGGAAAATGGATTGCTGTGGTTAGTAACCAGACAGCCTGGACGTGGGCTCCCAAGTTCGAGGAATCTTTGCTGGGTGAGCTCGATCTGTCAAATCCCTTCAGCAAATTGAGGTCTTCTACAGTTGCGTGACCTGCCTAACGTCATACTGCATTGTGTCAAAGCGCTGCCATCACCATACCTATCTGATTCTCTCTGCTAGCTGAAATTATTGATTGTATTTTATAAAAGAAAACAAGACATAAAGTGGCAGAGCTGGGATTCAAACCAGGGGTGTTCCAAAGCCAAGGTACAACCGTGGGAAGAGCTGTAGTAATCCATGCCCTGCGCCCACCTGTACCCCAAACTGAAGAGTCAACAAGGAAAAGTCCTCCAAACCTCCACAGCCTGTCTACCCTAAAATCCCACCTCAATCCAATCCCCAATAAACACCCTGGTCAACATTGGGCAAAAAAAGCCTTTTATTTCCTCCCACATTCCAGCTCTCCACTTTTTGTCAGTCTCTTCCAACTCAGAACTAAGGCCCAAGAAGTTGATTCACACCTGGAGAGAAAATAAAAAAACAGGGCAGGTCAGAGGGTCCTTGGGGGAGGCTCTGGGATTGGCTGCAGAAATAGAGGAAGTGACAACTAGAGATACCTACAGGTACTCATTTCCAATGGGGATGGCCTTAGGAGCCCAGGATGTGCCTGGGGCCAAAAAGTACTCCTTCCCAGTCTGCTCAGATTTTAGGAAGGCTGAGAGGGTTCCACCATTTCCTGTCTCAAGAAGTTGGTTGGAACAGTCTGGCCTAGCCCGAAGCAAAATAAGCCAAGTTGATCTTGAACGTCTAGTTCCTCTGGCCCTTCCCTGGGCCTGAACTGTTTCCACGTCCACAGTTATTTTCTAGGGCACAGCTGAAGCTGAGAACAATTTAAGAGCTGGGTGCATTTATTGAATGAGATCCTCTTGAGAATTTTTTTACAAAAATATTTTTTCCTTAACGAGCTGACACAGGAACTACCAATACGTCCCCCAACTACTGTTAGTTTTGTGAGGCTGTGTCCTTCCAAAGATCCTGTTAGCGGAATCAAGTTTTTCTAAAGGCAATAATGGCTAATGGAAAAGAGAAAGTACATTGGGCTGGCCGAGTGGCTCAATTGGTTAAGAGTTGGCTTAAGAGCGCGAGCTCTGAGCAACAGGGCTGCCCGTTCGATTCCCACATGGGCCAGTGATGCTGCGCCCGAGCTGAGCTGTCACTGAGCTGCCAACAGGTGGCAGGATGGCTCAGCTGGTGTAACAACAAGATTGCCTGTTCGATGGTGGGCTATGCCCACCCACAACTAAGACTGAACTTGGCACCTTGAGCTGAGTTGCAACCTGGATGGCTCAGTGGATAGAACATGCGCTCTTAACAACAAGGCTGCTGGTTCAACTCCCGCATGGGATGGTGGCTACGTGCAGCTACAACTAAGATTGTAACACAGCACCTTGATCTTAGAGGGGCATGAGCTGCCGATGGGCAGCCAGATAGCGACTGGCGCCCTCCACACCGAAAACTGAAGAACAACAACTTGGCTGTTCCCCTACCCCAATTCCCCAACACTGTTCCCCTCTCCCAGTTCCCAATAAAATCTTAAAAAAAAAAAAAAAGAAAGAAAAAGTACATGGAAAGTGCTTGGGTACATAGTATACACCTAGTAAATGGGATCATCCATTAATTCTTTTGAGCTATTCAAGATGAATTTTATAAAATTTGCATCATAAAAATGAGTATCAGAATTTCAGGACAAAAAGCAAGACAAACATGATTCATACTCAGGACACATCATCAATTTGAACCTTCTTTTTTTTTTTTTTAAGCTGAGCCATCCCGCCACCTGTTGGCAGCTCACGGCTGCTCAGCTCGGGCTGACTCGAACCGCTGTTGCCAATTTGAACCTTCTTAATTCACCACTGTTACCAAAAATCTTCTTGGATGTGAACTAGAGCTGTGAATGAATCTTAACATCAGAATGTTAACCGAAAGCAGTCAGTAAGGAAAGAATTATGTATGATTCCGTCTATATAAAGTTAAAAAATAAGTAAACCAAACTATATTGTTTAGGAATGATTCTGCCTCAGTTACAATTGCCACCCCCCCACCCAAACTCCCATTCCCACAGGACTGGGGCAAAGAAACTTACCTGAGAATGAGGCAGGAACTAGGCCAGTGTCCTCAGAGCTGTGCCCTCAGAGCCGGGTTCTAGACCAGTGGGACTCCCGTCGCGGGTGGAAGCAAACAGCAGAGAGAAAGCAGAGAAGGCCACAAAAGAGAAGCAGGAAGAAGCCCAAAACCAGTAGCCTGGAGCCACACAGGGCCAGCTCCTCCTGGGGGTGGGCACAGGGAGGAAAGGAGAAGTGAATGAGACGGGGAGAATGCAGGCTCTTCCCTGAGGAAGACATCCCAGCCCAAGGCAACAGAGAGAAGCCTCTATGCGGGGGAGGGCTCTCCACATCCAGGGAGCAATCAAAGGGGAAATGTTATTTCTATACGAGTTCATTGTCTTGATGGTCTACAAGCTGCTTTCTGGCCCAACCATCAAACTGAACCCCCTGATAATGACTCTACAAGAGCTCACTATTCTCCTCGTTTTAAAGATGTGCAAACAGGTATGGAAGCCAACATCTTCTCTGATTCCCAGCTCCCAGGTGATGCTCCTCCCAGGCTCTTTGCAAACGTGCAGGAAGCATGTGCAGCAGCATCCTCACCGGTCTCTTTCCCCCACTTGGCCAGTCTCTTCCATCCAGCACCAGTGGCCCCGAGGGACTACAGTGTTAAGTCGGTCTGTCTTAGCCTGGCATCGTGGTGCCTCCCGATCAGGCCCCTGCATCTCTCCTGCCACTTCCCCTAAGCCATTCCTGAGCCCCTCATCACGGAGTGTCCCCAAAGCCTGAAGATTTTTCATCCTCGAAGCCTGTGCTTATTTTGCCGCTCTGCCTGGAACATATTTCCTCTTTCTTGAACGCCCTCTACTGCATTCTCTGCCCAAATGTTCTTCAGGGATCATCCTGACAGAGCAGAACAGGCCTGGGACTCAGGATCCAGAGCCCAGGCTGGAATCCTGAAATGCCACTGAACCAGTGGTGTGGCCTTGGGCAATTCACTCCCCCTCTCCAAACTTGTTTCCTCATCTGTAAAATGGGATAATAACAGCTACCTCCAAAGGCTGTTTTAAGATCAAATGAGATCATGAATCTGAAAGCACTTTGTACACTATAAACTATTATACACAAGTCCGTTTTTTAAGTACCACCGTCTCTGCAAAACAGTCTCCATAAATGTACAAGTTAGAGCTCACCGCCCCTCACTGTGCTTCGATAAAACTGCTCATATCTCTGTGACAGCAATTGGCCTAACTAACCTGCCCCAGTCCAGCTTCTGAATTCTTGGGAGGCAGAGATCATGTTTTATTGCATTAAAAGGAAACAGTTAATAGTAACAGCTGTCATTTATCAAATCTCTATTATGTACCAGGCATGGTCCTGGGCACTTTACATTCATTCTCATTTCTCTGTTGGAGTGAGGAGACAGTATCATGTTTTCCATTTTACAGATGAGGAAACTGAGGCTCAGAGACTCAGGTGCTTGTTCAAGGTCCCGCAGCCTCCTTAGTCAGGATTATAAAGCCTGTGTTTTAGTTACTAGGTAAAATTGCCTTGGAGACACAGCATGTAGCATGGCCGTCCATGAAACCATGGTAACCTGGGGCTCATACCGTGGTGAGCAGCTTGGTGAGCACAAGGCCCTCCTGGCTCCAGACCCTGACACACTCCTCGGCCATCCTAGGGCTCAGGGTGACATTTCCGGCTCCCTCCTCCAAGCAGGAGATGGGTGGCTGGCTGGAGGGCAGGAGGTCTGGATCGGCACTGAAATACAGGCAGGTTTTGGGGGGGTTTTCTGTGGTCACCCGGGCTGTAACAAGGACCAGCTCTTCTGCAGAAGGCCCTAAGAGAGGAGATGGAGGAAAATGAGAAGTTGGGTGGGAGCCATCTACCTTCAGAGACTTGTAATCATTTCTAAGGCTTCCTACAGTAACAGATGTTGGGCACTGATTCCACTCAGTAAAGTACTCTACAGACCATCATTGACATCATTCAGAAATTAAAATAACTGTGGACCAATATAAAATAAACATTAATTCAAATTAGCTTACAATCAGTAAGACCAACACACCAATACTGGCAAGGCACAGTGAAACTGGGTAGATACACCTGCCCATGCAGTTTGTATAAACTACCATATTTTGCAGCGTATAATGTACACCCATGTTTTCGGCTCAAACTTTCAGGGGAAAAAAATCTTTCATTTTAATTCAAATTTTTGTTTACATGTAAGTACTTGTTTTTTGTATTATGAAGGGATTGTAGCATTTGTTTTTTAACATATTATGGTATAAGAAATTTTATGTAACAAATAATTACAAAACATAAGAATAGACACAAGGTACAAGATATGTACCGGTAACAAATTTACAATATTTACACATCATAGAAGGCCAAGAACTCTTTTTGTTGCAAGTTCGTTTTAACTTCAACAAAACTGATTATCGTATTACAGGTATTATTTTGCATACTAATTTCATTATTGATTTGTAGAATTACACTTTTAACTCATAAGCATAAATAAAAGAATTAAAAACATTTATATAGATACGGAATTAGTACTACCCATGTATAATGTGCATCCTTATTTTTCCCTCAAAAATTTGAGTAAAAAAATGTGCTTTATACAGGGCAAAATACAGTAGTTCATCCTTTTTTAAGAAAGCAGTTTCCACTAGGTACCAAAAACCCATTAAAAGGTTTACATCCCATTTCAAATTAGTGGGAAAGGATAGTGTATTCAATCAATGGCCTTGGGACAATTTGCACTGGGGAAAAAAAGTTAGACTCTTATCTCACACTATAAAATAAAGTCCAGATGTATTATAGAGCTATACAAACAAACTGAAACAAAACAAAAACCTAAGCAAGTATTAAAAGAAAATATAGAAGAATATTTTCCAATTTTAAAGTGGGGAAAGCCTTCCTAAAAAAGACACAAAATCTCAAAGCTTGAGTAAAGGACAAGAACAACAGCTTAACTGTGTAATAAATGAAAGACTTCTATAGTACAATGAAAGGTAAGTGAAAAAAACAAGTAACAGACCGGTCGAAAATACCTACAATAGATTTAATTGGCAAAAAGGTTTACTATCCAGAATGTATAAAGAGCTTCTAAAAATCAAGAAAATAAAAACAGATAACTTAAAAGAAAAATGAGTGAAGAATATGAACAGGAAATTCAGAAAGGACATGAAAATGGCCAATAAACTTATAAGCAGATGCCCAACTGCACTAGCAATAGGAGAAAGTAAATTGAAACAATCAGGCAATTCCTTTGCCCATTAAATTGGTAAAAATAAAAAGGAATGACAGTAACAAGAATTGTTGAAGATGTGGGGAAATGTGCGCTCTCAATTGGTGGCACCTTCTAGAAGGAAAGCTGGCTGTATCTGTTGCAATTTTAAATGGGTGCAGAGAGGGACTAAGAGGATGCCCCACAAACTGGACTCTGCAAGGGAGGGAGGAGGACATTTACGTCTGCTTTAAATACGTCTGTGTGGTCTGAAACCACAACAAAAGGAATTCCTCTATTAAAAAAGGGTCCATGTCCTTTGGCTCGATAATACCACTTGTAGAAACTAATCCTACGGAAAAGATCCAAAAGAAAAACACAAAATATACCAATATGTTTCTTGTGATTTCATAGAAAATACCAAAAAAGAAGAAACAATAGAGATGTTGAACAATAGGGAAAGCATTAACTCGTGACGGCCTGACCACTTAATAGATCACACTTCATACCATTCAAATAATGCTTTTGGTTTTTTGCAGTCATACAAGAAACACGATGTCACAGGTGAAAAACAAGAACTACAAACTAGTAGATACATCATAATTACAACTGAGGGACGTAAGGGTAAAATCTTCTAAGAGAGCTCCCCTTTCTGCTATGTTCCCCAGATAGACTCAGTCACAAAGTTCTGTCACTCTCACACTTCTGATGTCTCTCTCGCAAATCAGACTCCTTCTTTCCTGGAACTGTCTTTGCTCAGTTTTTCTCATCATCTTTTTATTGCAACCACCTCCTAACTGGTCTTCCTGCATCTGGACATATCTCTTCCAAGCAGTCAGCAAACAGAGTGCAATCTTTTTTTTTTTTTTTTAAGATTTTTTATTGGGGAATTGGGGGGATGGGAACAGTGCTGGGGAATTGGGGAAGGGCAACAGACAAGCCACTGTCGTCTTGCTCCTCAATCTAGTTGTGGAGGACGTCGCCCCACCGGCCCAAGTTGGCATCATCATTGCGCTCTTCCCAGGTGAGGCAGATCAGT